CTCAACCAGGCAAGGGCCACCAACAATGCACAAATCAATATGCCCAATCCCAGCAACAATGGAAAGCTATGCGGTCCGCTTGGGATCTCGAAAGTGCAATGGCAGTGGCACGGTGGACAAACGGGGCTCTGTTCCTTCCAGGTCGACCGTACGATCCAACCGATCGAGAAAGCGCAAGTGACCACAGCCACCTGCACTTCCATGGCCGCCCCCCCTAGAGACCTTGAGAGTAAGCCACGGCATATATCTTCCTCTCCGTCATCTATGAGTACACTCTGCCAATATATATATATATATCACCTCCATCGAGAAAACGACTGGCCAAAGAACAACAGGTCATTCCGGTGAACAACCGGGATGTCTTCTTTACGGGGCCAAGCACTAGGCCACTCGGAACCTGTGGCTGCTACATGCCAACCATCCTCTTGAGACTCAAGACGCGCAGAACCATGCAGGAACCCCTCCTCGAACCAACGAATCTGATTGATCTGATACCTCTCTAAGGCAACGAGGAAGCACAAGCTCGTGGCCAGGACAGCAATGCCATGCAGGACGATGCTGCCAAGGTCGATGGCACGCAGCTGCCCCACCTCGTGGCAGCTGAAGGCGGAGGTGGAAATGGAACTCCAAACCCTCAAAGGTCCATGGACAAGGTCCAGCATCAAACAAGCATCAAACACCCATTTGATATCAAATCATATCAAATCACCCCCCACCATTTGGATTGAAACAGCATGAACACACCTCTTTCTTTTTGGTTCGTTGATCTTTTCGTAGGAGTCTACATTCTCAAATGGCAAGAAGTTCCCCAAAAGACCATCGGATCCAGCTGGTCCCAGTGTCGACCCTCCATCCCTTCGTTCGAATCCAGAATCCATCGGTGTCGCCAGAGTTAACGCAAAAACAGAACCCCCGACACCCCCAACAAAGAGTTCTTCCCTACTCCACCTCTCTTCAGAGCCGTCTTCAAGCAAAGAGTCATATAAACAGGTGTACTGGTGCACGTTTCCTAACTATCCCTAACTTATCTAACTTTCACTCAGCGAAAAAGGGAAAGCCAAAAAGATCGCGTCACAACCCGTGCCGTCTACAGTCTAAATGTTCCGAGGTGCCGTGTCTTTAAGCTCCTTCCACGTCGTGCAGTCCTGCTTGTCGCTACACAAGGTCTGCGCATCCTCCCTAGAGGATGCAATCACTAAGCCTTTGCACACCCATGGCTGTGAGGCCAACTCCACACCTGAGTGGCCCAGTAAAGGCGTTGGAACCAGTTTCGGATTTCCAGCTTCAACACGTGTTACGCTGGAATGTGACGACGGTTTTCCGCCCCAAGACTGCTTGATGTGGGGAATGAGCTGTACGCCTCAATGTTCAGGTCTTAGTGGGCCACCTGATCCTGGCGAAGCTTCTACCAAACTCTCGTTCTGCTTCTGGCAGCTGAGATAAGAACATCGGTGACTTCTTGGGAAATTAGTTGAAAGTAGGAACCAGATCTTTCGGATGGAAAAGGTGGAACAGGTTTCGACGTTGTTCTGAGCAGTTTCTAATGTTCTTTCGCCATCCCCCCGTGTTTCGTCTGGATGGTCAAGGGCACCTTTCCTGCACACACAGGGTCCACACATTCACACCCGCCCATCTTTCTGCAGGTGAGTCACATGTGTCGTTCTGCGGCTCGAACTGCGTCCGTTCCTCCTCACACTCCTCGCCGAAGTACTCCGTGGGGCATTCGCATAGCTTCGGCCACTCACAAATTCCAAGCAAGCTCTGTGATTGGCACTCAGACTGAGTATCCTCAGAAGATGCCACTTGGATCCAAGTGGCGGGTGCTCAAGAATGAAAGTAAATATATGAAAGTCATGAATAGCTGGTGCCCCACGACTTCAGAACTACGGAATTGGATCGGGGAGCACCTCCTCCAAAAGACCTAAGACCTATAAGACCAAGCATGGCCAAGGCCAAAAACGGCTGATCGAAAACCACGATCCAATACAGATCTCAACCCATGCATGAGGTACAGTATTAGAAGATTTAGAAAAGGGACGCCCCATGACGCCCCCTCATTCAACAGGAATCGGGCCCGTTCTTCCATGTGACTGACTGGTGCTTAGTAGGGAATAAGATGAATAAGGGAATGGGCCCCCAATTTAATTATATAGATGGGGATTCCATTGTATCATTCCCTCATTGCCTACTAAGCACAAGTCAGTCACATCAGCTTCGGCAAGGCTCGTAGATGGCACACCCGCTGTCCAAGGACTTCTTGGCACCGACACATCCAACACGAATCCCTTCGTTCTTGCCTTGGAAAATGGACCAGCACAAAGGAACACAACGGACTCAGGAAAGAAGAGTGACACAAACACAGAACGTACTACTGTTGCATCTTTTTGGGGTGAACACGCCCAGCAACTGCGGAGATTGAACTATTCAAAAACCAGGTTGCAAGGTTTATTCCAATCTGGCTCCACCGTCCAGTGACAGATTTCTTGAATGTTGCACCTCTCTCTGCCATGATTCGTGTAACCTCCGCATACTGCATCGGCGTGGGCATTCTTCCGATTGACGCCTGCACCTCTGCAACCAGCCCGAAACTTCAGACTTGGAACGTGATAATAACACGCAGCCTGTTCATCACATGTAGCTTGTGTCAGGTATCCCGAGCAGTCTGCTGAGCCTGCTGTAAACTCCGGTCGGGTGATGCAGCGCATGCTGACAATCACCTCACACAATCGGTGCTCGTCGAAGCAAACACTTGGATGAGTGCTAGCGTCACATACTGCTCCAGCGCCCGTCTCGCACTGGAGACGTGCCTCCGGCGCTTCGGACTGACATTCGCAGTAGGGGATCATGGTCGCCGTGATGGTGGTGGTGACGGTCACGGTCGTGGTCGTGACATTGCTGGCAATCCTTGTGTCGCGACGGTGGTCGCTGGTCGTGTCGATGTTAAGCCGAAGCGACCCGAGACTCATCGGCTAAGTGAAGGATAGAAGCGGGTTTCACGGCGGCTTAGCCAGCATGGAGTATGTTAGGTGGATGTGACGGCAATTGCCCAACTGGCTCGTGATTCATTTGGTTCATGCAACGAGTCTGTCTCTGCAACATCTCCAAACCCTGCCTCTTGTTGCATCACGGTTGGTGTTAGTGGGGATCCCTAAACAAAAAGGGGCAACAATGTGACACGTTGATCTAGAACATCCAGTAAAAGCAAATACATAGGCATAGGCCTTGGGAAACGGATGTGTTGGGGCTGTGGGTGGGCTGCAATATTACTATCTAGTATGTCTTTCTTGGGGTTCCTAGTTCCTTTACTTTTGAATTTATTTTTGGTTCTGCTAGGTTGCTCCTTATGGGGCTTTAGGGAGTTTCCCAGCAGTGTAGCCCCCAAGCGCCCATGACAAGAGTGCAGCTTCCCGGAGAGGTCATCCCCTGCCCTAAGCTGCTTGGATTTGGCATTGTTGTGTTTTTTTTGTTTGGTTGACTTGGCTTGGACTGAACAAGCTGGACCACCAGAAAGCTACCAAGTGCCAACAAAAGAAGCTATCAACAGCTGCCATCCAAAACCAAACCAACCCGCAGCCAAATGCCAGCCCAAAGCCACACAAGCCACCAAAGACACACAAACCAAAAGCTAACCCATGAAAACAAATAATGCTCCCGAAAAAGAACATAAAAGTCCAACTATACATGGCCCTCCCTGTGAATGCCAAGGGGGCTAACTGTGTTGAAGGGCATAGATCATTGAATCATTCAAACGATCTGGAATAATTGATCTTGTTCCAGGTCTTCCGCGAACCTGACATCACGTTTAACCCGGGCCCGTTGCCATTGATGGGACGAATCCGTCAACAACGTCCACCTGTCAAGAGACACGATGTGCAAATCCGTCGTGGTCGTGGTGGTGGTTCCGCAGCACTCCTCAGCACTGAAACCTGTAGATTCCACGGACCATACAGGGCAAACGTCTGGCTGCAGGGTGGCTAAGCTTTCACAGCTCATCTCAGCGCTGTAGGCAGCAAAGGCAATCCAACAGCCTTATTGAAGACCGACACCACGTGGGCCTCTCCCCACAGATTTGTAAGATTCTGTCACCCCGAGAGGTTGTGGTGCTTCTCGTGTTTGTTCCCTGCTCCAAGGGCAAGAAAAGTAGTTGACAACTAAACCCTAAGTCATATATATATATATGTTACAAGGAACATCAAGTCAAGGCTTCAAATGCTCAACCTTCACCTTTTCCAGCCTCGGAATCTTAGTCATGAAGGGATCCCAATGCAAATTGGGTGGAGCTTGACACATTTGGCACATGCAGCTGAACGTTCCACCATGTTCCGCACAAAGTCTTCACACGTCGGACCGATCACCGGCTCGGTTCGTGAGCTCGCTTCGTATCACTGGCTGAGGGACATAGGCTGCAAATGCAGAAGATGAAGATGATGCGCACTCCATAGCCTTGGAGAATGTGTCGCGCAGAGCGGAGAGAGGTCTGCGGCAAGAAGGCGAACAGTCACGTCTCGCCAGGCTATACTGGATTTAGAGTAACTATATAGATGGCACAAGGGCACCCCCAGTTTGGAGCTTATATGGGCCCCAAACTTATTGGAAAAAACGTTATCAATGGTCAAAGACGTCTTGGGGGAAACGTGCCATCGAACCACTAGAACCACGGTACTGGATGCGCAAAACGGACCCTCTGCATCCAGCGTATGTGCCAGCATGTGCCAGCTTGTGACAGCGTGTTTGGTGGAGTGAACAGCCTGTTTGAACCCGTTGCTCGTCAAGTAGTTGACTCCTAAGTGTGGCCCTAACAGGCCCTAACATCCACATTCTGCTGTTGTGGGTCCACAAAACATGCAAACCAACCAACGCCCTGCCGGCCGTCTTCTTTTCGGCCGGGAGGCGCACCAGCTTGCGAGGTGCCCAATCAGCCTGTCTTCTTGCGCCGACGGCAGCGATCAAGGCACAAATGCCAATGCCAAGCACCACGAGGACTGTGAAGGTGATGGCCAAGGCCATCGTGGTCTGGGCTGCCGCTCGCAGGTTCCTCGCAAATGGTTCAAACACCCGCATTGCCTTCAATACAGTATGCTAATCTATGGGCATTTGCATGTATTTGCTGGTTCCCGAAAGCAGCAATAACATCGAAAGCCACAAATCAAAAGAAGGCTGCAAACGCCAGCCGCTATAGCAACAACTGAAAGCTCTGTCCGAAATCCCGGTGCAATCCCAAGGTTCTGGGGGCTTTCATGGCAACCTTGCAGTGCGAAACTCACTGCAAGGAGCACCACAACTAGGCCCAACTTCACGGGAGCACGTTGGCGCGACATCGGCGGCAACATCGGTGGCTCGCCATGCGCTGGGCGGTTCAACGGCCCTGTGATTTGAGCGCGTGAAACTGAAGACAGCTATATAAATGTTGATCAATCAAGAGAGAGGTTGTATAAGTGACCTTATAGGATAGGACCCTACTGGGGTACCTATGGGATAGTGTATAGGGTTCTTCAACCTCTGTTGGAATCTCCTGTTGAGTTGTCCCATTTTGCCTCCCCCACAAAACAAGCGCCCCTGATTCCCAAGCACCGGCCAGCGTGAGGGTTGGCTAGCGGCTAGATGCGGCTAGTAGGTGTAACAGGAGTGTCATCTCCAAGTTTCATGCCAATCAAAGGTAGCATGACATAGCAAACCATCATCGGTGACCCGAAGAATGAGCATCTGTGACCCAGTCCCCCATGATCCGCAGCATAAAACCATGGTGAATACACTTCTGATTCGTTCAGGTCGACGTCACATCTCTGGCTTTTATGCACATGGGCACGTACATGCATAGGCACACCAACCGCCAAGCAAGTCACCCACCCTTTACCTCCACACGGGGATTCGACGGATACCGAAGCAGTTCGCCAAGATCACTTGGTGACACTGGCGCCACTCCGGTTGCCATGGTGCTCTAGCACCATGGAGGCACTGTTTCGTACCAACTGTTTCATGTGCCTTTTTGTAAGGCATATCCTGGGAGCTCGTGATACCATGCTGTAATATGCTGAAACATGCTGTAATGAATTAAATCATCATCGGAAGGTCTACCAAATCATGGACATAAAGTGAAATAGGAGCTCCCAATTTCTCGAAGCATGCATATCATATGTAACTCAGACGTTGCATAAAATACGTCTTATTCTGCGGTAGAAGAGCGCGCGCATCTGTGCAGAAATTACGCTAGTCTGGGTGCTCGTGGGCCTAAATGGGGCGACTGCACCGGTGCTGGAGTGACTGCGGTGCTTCCAACACCAGGGGACCAGCACCAGGGCCTACACACCGGTGCTGGCGCAGGCGGCCATTGGCAAACATGGGTGTTGGGTGCCTGTTGCGCTGTCGGAGCCGCCCAGCTTGTAAAAACGCCTGGTCGCCAAGAAGGACGTGGTGCTGTCACCTCGCAGGAGTGGTGTGCGGGTAAGCCCTCGCCTGGGTCTCTCACACGGGGGGCAGGTAGCAAAGTCCTGGCGTGAGACATGTGCGAGTCACAGGATGCAGTTGGCCTGTGATGATCCGCACATGCAAGCTGGCGCAGCTCAGTCCCATCCGAGTCTGGAGCAATCTGGTTGAGGTCGGGCGCGTCTGGAGTGCAGGAAAAAGTCACCAGCATGGTGTTTGGAGGCTCTGGTATTGGACTTGTTCCTTGGTCTTGTGCACCTTGGCTGCACACAGCAGCTTCAACCTCTGCTTTGGCTGTCACGAGTGTCACGGGCAAATCTGCTTGGTCGGCCGGTGCAGCAAGGGTCTCTAGCCTACGGGGGGGGCTCACTTCGATCTCCGCTGATACCGATGGTGGCACAATCACCTCTATTTGTAAAGTTTCCGCTGGGGCAGGTGGTGGGGGCGGCGGTGGTTTTGGATGCCACCAATCAGAAGTGCGAAATCTGGCGCAACTCCACTGAGGAACCCCGTGCTCGCTGGTGTACCACGTAAGAAAAGTTGCAAGAAGGAAGAACAAGAAGACCACCAGGAAGGGAAGGACGATGTCTCGGGCTGGGTGCGGCCAGCCCACTCCCGTAGCACTGGTTTCCGGCAGGCTAGGGTGCCTCACATAGCAAACATGGCCTGCCATCTCTTGGAGGGCTCTGAGCTCAATGCGGTGAATCATCCCAAGGAAAGGCGCTGTGCTTTGAATGAAGTTGGCGAGGGTCATAAAAAGCTCCACCCAGTGCAGGGCAATGGACACCAAGAGTAGGAGCATGCTGTAGCTGCAACAAGCCTTGTCCCTGAATTGATCAGAGTCTGGCTCTAAAGTCTGCTTGATCTCATCCTGGATCTGGTACAGCTCCACACCAACGCCCCCAACGGCCACGAACCTGAGACGTGCTCGAACGGTCTGGAACGGTGCCCGAACTCGAACGGATGGGCACCCTCAAAGCAGGTGTTCTCCACCAAATCCACCCACATGTCAAAAAACACGTGGATACCATTGATACAATTAATGTAGATTCTTGATGAATAAACCCAAAACATGGATTCATGGATTATGAGACCTCCTTAATAATGTTGGGTGGTTAAAAGTGTTCAGGAGGGTATGCAGGAATATCGCTGATGGCTGATGGCCATGGCATGCCATGGCATACCGCTACCAGTTCTGAATGAACGTTCATGTGGGTCTTTGCTGTTGCCATTGAATACCTGGCCGAACGGTGCTGTCATGTCTGCAGCAGCGAATGTCTGAGCAGTCTTGCGGAATATTGCGGCATATGATAAAACTTATCATATAGAAGTAAGAACCACCAAATACTGCATATCCTTGCTGGTTATATAAACATGTCGGTTAACATGTGCCACAATGCTTTTGCTTGGAATCTCGCACACGCAATGCCACTTGTCGAAATCATTTGAATGTTTCCCTTTTGTTGTGACTTTACTGCGCCTTTTTCCCTTGCTCCCCTTGTCTGGATCTAACAATGAACACACATTCGGAAAGGAGCACTGGGAAGGGGGAGGGAAGAATGAGAAGGAATTTCAAGCAGAAAAAAAACATGGAAGAATCAACATGAAGAAAACCTTCAAAGGAAGGGGACATCGAAAAGACACACATTAACGTGAATCCTTATAGTTACATAGACCAAGAGAGGAATAATGAATGAAATCAAAGACATGGGATACTGTAACAAAAGAAATGTAGACAAGGAGGAAATGAAAAGGAACAATCACATTGGAAGGAAAAGGGCAAACAAAAACATATCGTAAACTATAATCAACTTAGAAACAACATGCACTGTATCGCACTGTTGCATATCTATCCCGCATTCCAATTGCAAGCAGGACCCCCCATTCAGAAAGCTGCGTGCAGTTATTAACTATTTCCAGGATTTTCCAGGGAGCGAGAGTACTCAGAACTGCCGGAGTGTTCGACACCCGTCACTCACCATCTTCAACTCCCAGGGGCATCTGAATGATCACCAACCAAACACTGGTGTGCAAGGACTTCGTAACGCCCGCCAGCCAATCGTCGGCATCACTGTTGCGTGTAAAACACATGGCCTCCCTCAATTTCGTCACCACCCATGCGGCATTCAGGAGGTAAAACAGCAAGAAACCTCTTTGGAGGAGCAAAGGGATTCTCCCCAAAATATGAGGTACCAATTGAGTAATGATTTTTCTCACGTGAGAAAAATTCTTTAATTATATACTCAATTCAGGTTCAAACATATAAAAACTGATTGCAATAAATTTGAAGGGGAAACCAAAGAAAAAATAATGGTAGCACCCGAGGCCTTCCAGGAACAAGTCCACCAGGAAGCTCACGCAGCAGGCAAACAAAAAGTACTGAGTCCTCAAAAACTTCTGATCCTCCTTCTCCGTGTCATCCTGTTTCTTCTCAGCCTTCTTTTTCCCATGCTTGTAACTATACTTGATCAGAACGAAGGCTAACCTCAGTTTCATCGGACTACGTGTTGGAGGTTTTTGGACTTCTCTACCGCACAACACTTGGGACTCCCCCAAAAAAATTAAGAACCTGCCGTGAGCAGTCCGAGTCGCATGCAACATGCTGCTATGACATCCACAAGCATTTGGCCAATCTCAACATCACGCATGTGGCCGACCATTCTTTTCACCCTCTTCCAAATGGTGCAGTCTTGGTGGTCACTGCAAAAGCTCTGAGCATCCGAACTAGCGGCAGCGATCACTAGGCCTTTGCATGTTGGAATGTCTGACTGATCCATGATGCAACCACTGTGGTTCTTAAACTGAACCCTCTCTTCTGCACACTGGTCACCATGGAATTCGCTCGGGCACTCGCAGCTTCCCTGCCATTGGCACAGGCCAGAATGTTCCTCATCACAAGAGGTGTTGGTGTCAAAGATGGCACAGGACTTGCTCAGGGCCTCATCCACACCAACACATCCTCTGTAGATCCCGTTGTTCTTACACGGTGAAGCTTCAGGCACGTCGATGGTCCAGTGACAAAGGTATTGATTGTTGCAAACTCCTTAGTAGGAAAGACATGGAAAGAAGCGTGTAATTAAGATGGAACCAAAGCAAACTAGTCCCTACATGAAAATGGCCAGTAAGTATATATATATATATATTAATTCAAGGTCCTTTCATGCACCAAGAAAAACCTCTGAAGCAATCCGATCTTCCTTTGCCTTGGTCCGTCAGACTTTGGCACCTGTCATTCGCCTCTGGAGAGTGTGCATAGATGCCTTTGCTCTTGCAAGCCATCCTGAAGGTCAAGCTCGGCTGCCGATAGTGGCAGGCCTCTTGCTCCAAACAAGCTTCTGCCGTTGGCGCCTCGTTGCACATCAAGTTCAGGTCTCTGAAACTGGGCCATGCAGTACACCCATAGCTCGCTTCACACAATCGACCTTCCTCGAAACAAGCGCCTTTCCTCTCCGAGTCGCTGTCACATGGATGGCCTAAGCCTGTCTCACATTGTTCCCTGGGGGAGGTCCCTGAGTCTTGAAACTCACACCTGCAGTAAGGAATGGCAGGAACAGAGCTGCTGGTCGTCACGGAGGCTTTGGACACGGAGAGGTCTGCCTGGGTTGTCTGGGTTTCAGTGGTGGAGGTGTTCGTCCAACTTGTTGTCGTTGCTGTCGTCGGAAGAGGGAAGGCCGGCGGTTCGCGGGTTGACCCACAGCCGTGCAACGCAAGGATCATGCTGAGAAGGATCCTTGGATTAGCTGACTGAACCGGGCCAAAAGATCCTTCTGCACTTGAGGCAAAGTTACAGTCTTATAGACAAAGGATGACAAAGGCTATTGTTGGACTATATATATAGTCTTTTGAACCTCAAGGGGTACAAAATCCACCAGAAAGGGATAGAATCGGATTTGTTTTTGCTGGGGCTTCCGGCCTTCTTTGCCGACAGAAAGGGGATTGACCTGTCCGGGACAAAACAAAACGATCCACCAAACCCAGGACTCACAGTGAGAGCAGCTCTTGCACGTCTCATGGCTCGCCATGGCAGAAGCTTCGCCCGAGTGAGTCAGGACCTTGGAACCCTACAGTAGGCCCTACAGGATTCTTGGCACAACATGCCTGAATGTCTTATCTTCAAGCCGTGGGCCCACATGCATGATGTGAGCGCTATGTCTATGTCTTCCATTCCCATTTCCAGTGAATGAGAGTGTTTGGTACAAACATGTTGCCCGAAATATTGACAATGCCTTGAGCATGTTTCAGCTTCTCTGTGTGCGTGGGGTAGTCGGGCAGTCGTAATGTGATAGATTCTCGTTCCTCAAGAAAGTCTCTTCTATGAAAACTCTGACAAACTGCAAAGACAACTTGAGTTCTTCGCTGACAGCCCTGGAGTCCCGTCTGCTACATCTTCTCTGACCACAGCCGCGGCGAGAGCTTGGTACGCAGGCATGGGTGATAGGTGGTGGGTTGTGGGGTCGAGGGTCTCCCGACGCGATGTGCATGGACCGTCCATCCCTTTGAGAAACCGCATGGCACATCGACCACTGTAGAGGAAACTGATCTTCCACCACGGGTGTAATTAGTCATCTTAGTAGATCCACTGTCCACAAACATTCCCAGTGCTCCGGTGAGCTCTCGCTCCGACGAAGGGCCAACACTGGACCGGCTGCATCATAGTGGCGGCAGTGGCTTGCTCATGGCCGCCAACCTTTTTGTTCTGCTTCACTGGTTGGTGTTTTAGTCAGAAGGTCCAATCATCCCCAAGTAAGGGTTGAATATACACATATCCGAAACCATCACCTAGTTCACTTTGTTGATCATCTGATGTATCCTGGACGCTCGGTGCAACCTTTGCCTCTCGTCAAACGGCTCGTCACGACCCGATGTCCCTCCCCACGCTGCCTTCACGAGTGAAGGCGGGTCGCCCGCCGGGAGAGGCTGGTTCTCTCCTGGACTGGGCCAACGACTAGCCAGCCGACCCTCAGGAGACCCGACACCCAGCGCCATGCCAATGATCAGAGATGGCACCCGACAAGGCCAAGAAGGCCAGCGGTGGTTGTTGTGGCCAGAGGTGGTTTTGTAAGCTGTCGTGAAACACAGGATGCGTGCCACCAAATGGACTCCCAGGTACAGGATACACAAAGCGCACCATATATGAATTCATAGTCTTGGTATGTGTTGGTAAGGACCACCAGCTAAACAAACCACCACACATACACCATGGCCCAAAGTAGAACAATAAGATTTGATTTGATGCTTGGTTCCAGATGGTTCCAGGCTAGGGTTGAGTGAAGAAACCCCGCACCATAGGCTCCAATCGAACACCATGTGCCGGGTTCCTTACAACAGTAGCATCAAGCAGCGCTTGATGGATATTAAGGTTGTTGGCCAGGGCTTCTTTCGATTCATCCAGGATCCTGATTTCTGGTCGTGCATATCCTTTCACCAAGCGCATGAGAACAAGAGCCAGGCCCCATGGAAGTTCAAGCTAACAAGGGAACGCCTATTGCCGCAAAATAAAACACCAAACCTGGGTTCGCGGCCCCGACCACGACAGTCGATACGTTGGTTCAATGTCGTACACAGAATATCTCGTGGGAAATCACACCTCAAAGTGGAAGGTTAACTACTCACAAGTTCACAAGGGGAGGGCAACAATATATAGACCCCCAATGTAAAAAGGAAAAAACAATAGAAAACTTTGATGGAGGAAATGCATTATGTATTAAATGTCTTGAAGAGAAAAATAATTATAGAGAAACTCACAGAGAGGAATTAAGACAAACAGCAAAAGAAATGTATGAAAAGAACAAAAAAAACACATACTTGCCATATGTAAAGAATACAAAGAACAACAAAAAGATACAATTCTTGAAAAGAACAGTATCGTGAAGACCACAAAGAAGAAATCAAAGATAAAAAGAAACAATACTATGAACTTCGAACAGAACAAGGAACAGATACAAGAGAAAAAGACACAATACAACAGTCTAAAAATTGAATGTCCTGTTTGTAATTTTTTAGTTGGTAAATATACAATTAAAAGACATGAAGAGAGTCAAAAACATCAACTAAAACTGAAAGGTCAAGAACAAACAAAACAACACCAGCAAACAATAGACTATCCAAATGCTAATTTTCCATTCTACCAAGAATACTAACAAACTTCTTAACAAAGAACATGTTTCAAATGGTCCACATCTGGTCAAACACATAAAAGGTAGGTCCCGGGGGGGGCTAGTATATATATATATATATCCATTTGGGGACTGCTATATTTATATCCTTATAAGCAGGGTGACCCGAAGCCTGGTAGATTGGTTGCGGATCTGACGGCGCTGTTTCTATCAACTGTCCCACGGTCACATGCGCTGACGACCACCCCAGTGGGGTAGAAGAATGGCATTGCGGCATTGGAATCAAACTGACCCTGTCTGTTTACCCCTAACTGCAATGGCCTCAATAGGAACATGATCTAACAATAATTTATCACAAAAACACCGACCCAGAAACCAGAAACCAGAAACCGTTTCGAAGGATTTCGAAAGATTCTTCTAGCACTGCAACCCGAGGCATGACTGTCACATCAAAGATCTCTGCATCTTGAGATAGACAGCTTTTCTCGAACAAGCCAAGGAGCAAAGCAGCAAAACATATTCCCCCGAGTCAATTCATCCAAAGAAAACAAAATGAACGTTGGCAACACCGCCATCCACCACCCATCCGCGGTGTCGCCTGGCTGCCCACATCCGCCGTTAAGCAGCTGAAGCGCCGGTCGAAACGCCAAGGCATTCGTGACCAACCTGGAGCACCAACATCAACGGAGTTGAGTCCAACATATGGGGAGTACAGGTAATGGATGTTTATCACCCTCACTAAAAATGGATCCAAGAGGTACGGTATATAATGGAGAGTCTTTATGGGGAGTACAGTGTACAATGGATGTTTATCACCCTACAGGTTATGGATCCCAGCGGAGCGAAGCTCGGAGCTTGTACTCTCTCTACAGTCTTTGTTCACTGTCTCAATCAGATCATGGATAATTGTTGAGTCAACAGTATATGAGTACATAATAACTTTGAAGGTCCCTCTTTTCATGTCTAAATGTGAAACATGTCAACTCTACATTTACAAAAACTCCAGACTGGATTCATGCACAGGATTCATGCACCAGTCAAAGGCTGGGAAATGTTATCTTATGTTCTCTTTATATACAGGGTCAGGACTAGGGATGGGCCAGGAACTTGGCCAACTGAGTTCAAGATGTGTTGCAACAAAGTGGCCTTGCTGCTGTAGATGAGTCTCCTTAAACTGCTCAGTATTCTGCAAAGACAGGAGACGTGAGATCTTTCTGCTGGTGTCTTGGAGCAAAGAACTGTCAAACAAAAACGGGTGCTCTTTTTTTTACGAGTTCTGTTCACCTGCCTGATTTAGCAAGCACCTGCACCTGAACAGGCGCCATCATCTTCTTTGCCCACAACTTGTTGGTTGCCTCGCTAAGCTCTTTTGGGGAGTGTCATTTACCACACCGCAGGGTTGGCTCAACTCAAGGACCCCACCCCACCTTTGTCGGGTTCAGACGCACCGGTTCCGACCGTCACGTATTATGACAGTGCCTTCCGACGACCGCGACCGCCACGGCGTTTTCTGCCGCAACTTCTTGTTGCGCCGGCCGAGCGTTGTAAAGCAGCTCGTTATCTACATTTATCTCTGGGAGCTTGACGAAATATATCGCAAAAAAAAACATGCTTATTCCAACAGCCACTTAAACAATACAATTGAACCACATAAAGAAAGGGCAAACCGCTCCCAAAGGAACAGCAAACATGGCAAGCACTTGCATACAGTCTTCTTTGCTGCGCTGGTGCTGATTATACTTTGATTCCATCTTCTTCGCGCGTTGTCAGACCGAGCGGCTCCTCATCGACCAAACACCTCATGATCGGGAACAACTCCCTGGTGCCCGCGGTTGAAAGCTGTGGCTGGCGGTCCGGACGGGCGAGCTACCATCGCTTCCAGGTTCTGTGACTGCGGGCACTGCGGGCACTGCGGGCCTACAGGGCCCCTTGGAATCTCCGGAGTGATCAAGGCTGACGCCTGTGATCCGGTGCGACGTGAATGTGCGGAATATCCGGCGCACAAATAGCAGGCTGAAGCTGATCGGTGTTCGCGCGAGCCAGCTCCAGCTTCTGGAGTTGGGAGATGGCGAGAATCACCTGGGCGTGGAGGAGTGCAAGGGACCGAAGTGATCTGGCCCATTGAGACCGGCGCTCTCTGTTCGGCATTGTGCTCGACGTGGCCGACTGGGCCGTTGTCCTTTTGGCGGACGCCATCGACCTCTTCAGCCATCGCCAGTAGCTCTGCCAAGTTTGGGGGTCTCTGTTCGCCTCCGCCGAGCCTCTCCCGAGTCGCCACATCCACGAGGTCGCAGGTCGCTTGCCTGGCCGCTGCCTGAAGTCTTTGTCGCTCGGCGAGTCGCTTGGTAATTCGCTCGCGTGCGGCTTGCAGAGTGTCCTGCCAAAAGGGGAGATCCAACGGCCACCAGGGGGCCTTAGATTCCTTAGATGGCCTTAGGAGGATGGTCTGGGAGGTCAAAGTGTATACTTCGTACATGTCCTACTTGGAGCAACCTTTGTGTACACAAGAAAGGCGATAGATCAAAACACGTGCTTTTGGTTGAAGCTGTCATGCCAAAAAAGTGCGGAAGGGCTGCAACTTGACTTGAAAAACAAGGTGGACATTTGCTGGAATATAGCGGAAATATACTGCAGAAACTTGTGGACTGAACATTTGCAGCATCTTGAACCCCTCACAAGCACTTCAGCTTGACCACACCGCTTCTTGAAACCCAATCCACCGCAGAAACCTGAGAAGAGAATCTTTATCCAGTGAATTTGTGGTCCAAGTCTACCTCTCCGAGGACCCCATCATAACATACATTATGTCATTTGTTTCGTAAAAAGTTTCTCATATTCTTAGGGGGGTCCAGCATTGCATTGTTTCTTACGCTTTGAACTATCGTGCCGTGTTTTTGGCAGGTCCAGGCGGTCCAGGTATGTCCTATAATGGTCTTTGGGACTGAAGTCCTGGACAAAACGGAAAAAGACACACATCCAGTCGTCTCTGGAAGATCCTGTGATGACCCCCCCAATTCATAATCCCAACCACCACGTGTCCCGCGTCAAGCCACATCTGGTGGCTCAGCCCCTAGCCCTCAGTCCTCCATTTCAGGCTCAACCAGGCCAATGGGCTCAACTCTGCCAGACTGCAGCCGAGATGGGCGAGAAGAGCTACTCACAGCTGGGCCAAGTGCCCAAACATTTGGCGTACTCTCCTCGCACGCCCTTGGCACCAAAGACCCGGTGCTTCTGGGCCGCTCAACTTGCGGCAGTTCGCCCAGAAGCACCTCCACACGGCTGTCGCAAGGTGTTCCATCTGTAATCACCATGGGCACCATGGTGTTAGGTTGGCAGGGTGCGCTGACGATCTCCAGGCTTTCAGGTGGTGCGAGCCTCACTTCAACCTCCACGGCCTCGACGTCTGCAGGTGGGGGCGGTGGGGATGGTGCCGGTGCCACGGGAGTCTTCCACCAGATCCGCCGAAGGAGAAGGTTGCAGCAGCACACCTGTGTTCTGCACGGCTCATGAGTGAGAAAGTGTGGCATTCCATAAGTGCTCATGTACCGTGTGAGTATGGCGGCAAGGAGGAAGGACACCAAAATGAACATGGTGGGCAGCACGATGTTGCAAACAGGATCTGGCCAGCCCACGCCTGAGGCAGTGGTTTCGGGCAAATCTGGATGCCTGCTGTAGCATGCATACCCAAGGGTCATAGACCTGAGACCCAAAACACTGTGCTCAAGGTCTCCAACGATGGTGATGAAGACAGACTCAGTGTTCTACCATAGGTTCCAGGTGCCCAAAAGGATTTCCAGCCAAGGTGTTAGAAGGACCAGTATAATGCAACCTCTCGTCAGCCAAGATGAGCTTGACTCCAAGGGCTTGGCACAAAACCCCAAGAGCCCAGAGATCGCACAAAGGTTGGAAGCAAGGCCCAGCAAGGAAATGATCCTCGACATTCTGCCAAAGTGCCAACAGTTCTGAACTGGAAACCGTAGAGACAAGGAAAGAGCCTACTAGTAAACAGTCAACAGTCTCTCAAGTGCAGTAGAGACAATCAAACAATTGTGAATATCTTGTCTGCATTGAGGCAGAAAAGAACATCATTTGGGGCAACCATCAGCAGTTCCAAAGGGGTGCCTCTTGTAGGGTAAGGGTGCCCAAAAAGTCCATTCACTTGTAGAGGCAAAAGGCTATGGAACTCCAAAGGGTTAAGTAATGTTAAGCATGTTGAATGCAAAACCAAGTGGCATCTGAATGATCACAAGAATTCTGCTTCTCTCCAAGGCATCTTGCAATTTCACCAGCCAGCCAAAAGCATCACTGCCGGGTGAAAAACACATGGCCGCTATGACCTCCGTCAAGGCCCCATCAGTATCCCCTGCATAGCCAAGCACAAAGCCTGGCTGGATTTGCAGAAAGTACCCCTAGGCCTAGGCCTTAGGCCCCTAGGCCTCCAAGTGCAGTTTGTTGAACAAACACGAGCAATCATTAACAAACCGTTTTCCAACACTGTAACACACGTGAACACTAAGGAGGAAACTGCATGTGGGAGATTGCATCGTGCTCCACAAAGTAATGGGCAATCCCAAATAGTCAAAGGGGGGGGAATTAATTCTTAAACACCGGGAAATGATTCTCAATTCAATTCCTGAATAGTGTGGCCAGTGTGGCGGTCGGAATCACAACATTAAACCATCCAACATGTTTCCCCTGTCGCGGCCCAACTGTCCTTCCATGAACAAGTCTGTGATGAAGCTCACACCAATGGCCCAAAAGAATCCCTGCGGGAGGCGTTTCGGAAAGGGCATCCGCTTGGGAAACAGGCTCGCAGGGCCGCTTCTGAAAGGGGCCCGTAAACAGTATAACACTGTATAAGCAAGGCCGTTCTGTTTCATTTGCACTGAACAGAAACATTGGGCATCGCAACGCAATTTGATTCGTACAAATAAGATATACAATAGCTAGCTGTTATACAACAACATCGCCGTATCTTCAACACAACAAACATTTCACCATCCGAACAACCAAACTGTGAAGTGATTATCACCTTGTCACCTTGCGAAACCCAACAATGAGTTCGGGGCTCACCCACCTCTTGCGCAAGGTGCCCCTGCAAAAGACCTATCATTGTTGGTCATGTCAATTCCCTGAAACTGATTCAAGGACATGAACTGAATTGTTGATCGCTTTGGCCCGTTGCTCCTGCCTGATTCTTGGGGAGATCTTTTTCGCAGCCACATGCCATGAAGAATCCTGTAAGCAATGCCACTATGCTATCCACAATCAATTGGCCAACCTCCACTTCACGCATTTGCCCTAGGAAGTTCTTCAGTCTCCTCCAAGTGCTGCAGTCTTGAGCATCAGTGCACAAATGCTGATCCTGCGAGGAGGCAGCAACCACTAGGCCTTTACAAGCAGAAGAGTCGCCGTGCGAAACGCATGAGCCACCACGGTCGGTAAACTGCACCAGCTCTCTCCCACAATCCTCACCGAAGAATTCAGCTGGGCATTGGCACCGGCCTTCCCATTGGCATAGGCCACATGGCTCAGCTTGACAGGTGGCAGCACTGTTGTAGATCCCACATGATTTGTTCAGTGCCTCATCCACACCAACGCAGCCAAGGTAGATGCCATTGTTTTTGCAGGTCGATGCTGTCTCTTCGTCCATGGTCCAGTGACAAAGATATTGATCGTTGCACGTTCTCTTACCCTGGGCAGTGAAACTGTCGCACCGGTCATTGGCATCCGGCGAGCTGGCATAGAGACCTCTGCTCTTGCAAGCCATCCTATACTTCAAGCTCGGCGGCACATAGTGGCACGCCTCCTGCTCCAAACAAGCTTCTGCTGTTGTCGCCTCCTTGCATGCGGAGTCGAGGTCTGCATATCTGGGCAAGGCGATGCACCCAAAGTTTGCCTCACACAAACGGCCTTCCTCAAAACAACGGACCCGATCGATGTCACTGCGATCCTCACATCGATCTCCGGTGCCCGTCTCGCATTGCGTCTGCGAAGCCGAAGCGAACGAGAAGTCGCAGCGGCAGTAGGGGATCGTTCCGGTCGAACTCAGCGTGTGGGTTTGATTGGATCTGCTCCGCACTTGCCTGGCAGAATCAATCAAGTCAGAAACGAGGAAGTCAAGCTGAAATGGAACCAAGACTTTAGCACTATCTATAAAATTCTATTATGATGGTTGACCTTCATCCATGGCGGTCAAACTTGTGAACTTTGGCCAACTGAGCTTCCTTTGACTTCTACTCGTCCTCCCTTCGCTGCCCACCCTGCAGGGAGACGTCCTTCCCCGCCCAGCTCGCGTCACGTGGGCCCCGCCGAGCTCGAGGCCGAGCGCGATCACCGCGATCCGCCACGGCATGGCTCCGCCATGGGGTCCGGTCCGGTGTCCGTCCGTGCGGACGCCCGGTGAAGAACACGAACGAGAGCTCTCGGTCCGGTCGGTTTCCAGCTGGCAGGAGCGGGATGCTGCGGAATGAGGGGATGAATTGGATGAAGCGGTTTTGGGCGGTTGATGGTGTGGCTGGCCACCTGTTGTGCTCAATTTTTCTTTGCACGAAGGAACGAGCTGCTGATCCTCGAGCACGAAAACATGTGAAGACATGCTTATCGACGTTCCCTGTGCAATCCTAGTTGCAGTAGTATTTTCGATATGATTCGATTGTTCCAACACGTTCCAACTAACTATATACATTCTCATGTGTACACATACCATCGCACACCTGCCTGCACATAGTAGATTGCAGTCAAGTCGTGCTGTTCCGCCTGAGTCGGGTTCGACCCCAAAGACAGCTCCCAAGAATGGGCGAGGGGCAAGCAGGGACTCCAAACTAATCAACCTAGTTCAAACACCAAGTTAATGATCCATGAGATATATGCTGAATGCATAATATGCCTATGATATGCCATTGTGTGCAAGAGCGTCTTGTGTCATGAAAAACAGCGCCCGGCATAAATCTGTTCGGACACCAAACATACCAACAGAGGTTAAGTGACCTTATAGGACCCTACCAGGGTACCTATGGGATGGCTTATAGGGTTCTTCAACCTCTGCTGGTAGGTCAGGTCAGGTTTCGGCATACGATCTTACAACAGTCACAGTCGCACCCACCCCGCTGGGGGCCATGGCGCCGACCGGGTGACCGGGTGCCTTAGTCCGGTCGACCGGACGAGAACATGCGCGAATACAAGACTTGAGGTATCCCATTGATTCAATGGCGCGATGTCCATGGCATTTTCATGGATAGTCCGCTGGATTTTGGCATTTCAAGCTCAATTCCTGGACATCTTCACAGCCAAAACTTCCCTGCGGAACTGTTCCCCTCGTGGTGACTCGTGGTGTGATCTGAACACTGCATGTATATCATTGTATATCAAGCGTCGTAGGGCGTGCTGCATCTCTCTTGTAAAACCGTCGCCTCTCCCATCCTAGTGACTAGAAGCCTTGGCGTTGTTTAGCAGTAGCTTGGTTGCTCTTGGGGTCTTCTTTGTTGCTAAGTTGAGTATTAATGTGTGCATGATGGCGCTATTCAAGCAAAAGATGTTGCTAAGTTGAGTAGAAGAGGTTGCTCAAGTACAAAAGGTGTTGCTAAGTTGAGGAATAGGTGCGCATGCCGTCAAAGTACTGTCTGGTCAGCATTGTGACCCTTCACTGGTTTTATATGTTTCGAGGTGGAAAGGGAACATTGAAACTGTGTCATGTTCCATAAGCCAGGTGTAACCAGTGCCAGTGCAACGTCCAAGGTCGAAAACCTCCAAAATTTCCAAGAAACAGCAGAGAACGGCTTGTTTGCTCTACGGTTTTCCCGGAAACTTTGATGCTTTTCGCCTGTCCCATCCCGAAACACTCAGCCAGACTTTTCGCTCGCTGATCGCTGTCTTTTAGGAAGAGCTCTGAGTCTGTCCCTGCCACGGCCGATCTACTGCAGCTCCCTCAGCGTCGCCTCCCACAGCTGGAGCAGGGGGCTGTTGTCCTTGGACGACCCAGCGCCTGACGAGTCAGGATCACCACCATCCGGACCGCGGTCTCTGGTCTTGCGCTCTGGGTCAGCACGCACTGGTGGGGCGGACCGTGGTCCTTGCTTGAACTCCTCGTCACCAGGCCCTGTGCTACCCTTTTCTTTCAAAAGTGTCAGACCAGGGCGCCAAGCCTTTTTTCCCTGGCTCTGCCAGTAAATCAGGCTGGCCTGAGCGGCGGTGTGAGTGCCAGCCTCACTCGCCGCCCCCACATTTCTGCCACACGCTTTGCACCTGTACTCAGCACGCTTTTTATTCTGCAGGTCAGCCTTGGCTGGCTGTTCTGGCGCCTAATCCACCAGAGCGTAGTACCCTGCGTTCGTTGGGTCTGTGTTCCGGGTTGCAGCAGCCGTGGCTGACTCACTTGCCGGCGAAGTCCTTTTTGTACTTGCCTTCTGGCTGGGACCCGTAGATCTAGGCTTGGCCGAAATCGCCAAGGCTGCCAGTTTTACGTTCTCCGCACAAAACGGCCTTCTTCCTTTGAAGTTCCTTTTTAACGGTCGCTGGGTCTTCTCCTTTCTCAGTCCTCTCGGCGAGCTCTTTCAGTTCAGCCTTGTTCAAGCGCCATGCGGAGATGTTCCGGATGTCAGAGGCCGTCATCGCAGTGGCCAGCAACTTAACTTCAACGTGTTTGTCAACGACTTCCTTCAAAAAGACTTGAAGCCAACAGCAAAGGCAAAAGTGAAAACAGATCAGTGAGAATGCCAAATGCGAGGATGCTGATGGGAAGGACACTCAATTCTTTAACATTCGATTCAATAACTACTTATAGATATAATCTTAGTTAACATCAGGAATCAGGAATCCAATGGGTAAGGACAGTGGTCGTGCAACCGCTAAACGTCGTGCGGCTTACCCGGATCTGGCCCGGGCTGGGATTCCGAGTAAGACTAGTAGGCACCGCTCTTTCCCGCTGCAACGGGCATGAGTACGAGGAGTGAGGAGGTCTCACTCCTCTTACTCGAGTCTGGCCTAGGCTGGGAGTGGGTAAGGATAGTGACAAAACATGCGGCCGTGATGGCGTGGTGATTGCCCCACTATGCTTACGACAGTCCCTACTATCCTTACCCGAGTCTGGCCTGGGCTGGGAGTGGGTAAGGGGAGTGCCTCCTCACTCCCCTTACTCGCCTCCGTCGCTGCGGCCGCCGAAAAAAGCTGTGACGAGCTTCATTTTGGACCTCGTCCCGGCTGGGCTGTTCGGTCGAACAGGCGGTCACTCAGCGTTGCAGCGTCCGGACCATTGGCAACTAGTCTCCAATGGTCGTCCTGTGCACTGAACTGAACTAAGCGAGCGTGCGTTAATCCTTTCATCAACACACTTGCCAAGACATTGATGCTCATTGCATCGCCAAGGCTTGCATCCACTGCGCGCGCAGGAAGCTTGTGTTTCTCGGCCGCCCTTTGCATGGCTTTCGCAACTTTCTTTGGCGCTCCTTGTAACGCAGCAGCTTCCTCAAGAAGCAAGCGGCGCCGAAGCTTTGGGATATAATATCATCCTTGTCCCAAGCGTATGTTCGCCAGGCACGGTGCGCAGTTTGTCATCACTGCTTGGAAGGGCCGCCTTTTTTCCAAAGTATAGCTGATCTCATCTAAAACAGCAGCAACTTGTTCCAGAGTGAGCTGACCTGAAACACACATGTCCGTAAACAGTCACAATTTGTCTGTAGACGCCGTAGACTTTCAAACCTTGTCTGTCTTTTCTTACCTGTCGACAAGTCAGTCCGAAGACATTTTCCTGATGTGTCCGTAGACTATAGGCTTCACCTGTCCGTAGACAAGTGCAGATCTGTCCTTAGACAGACTAGTTAATTAGTTATGTCCGTGGACATCAAGTCAATACCTCCTTAGAGGTTCATTCAATTTGGTCCGTGGACCTTGGATCATAATCGGTAGACAAGTCCAACCTTAGGGTGAGAGGCTACGATTCCATGGCAAGGTAAGCAGGATGCAGCTGCGGCGGTGACAAAACTCACTGAACCAAAAACCCTGCCGAGGCGCCAGGAGGTTGCAATGAATTCAAGGCGTCGAAGTTGGACTTATCGCCGCAATCTCGGACTTATCACCACAATCCCCACATATGTTTTCATTCAAACACAGGAATAATATATATATATAACATCTGTATAGTATGGGGTGGGCGACCTTACTGTTACTTCTTTCTGTAAACATTCAATGTACGGATATCACCTGCGATGCTGGGCAACACTATGCCCCTAAAAAAAATGTTATGTCAAATAGTAGTTAGGTTGAGACAAACATAGGACCAAAACATTGGATCAAACATATGGATGTGAATGTCTCAGGTGGATTGTTTTGATAGATAACAAAAACAAACCTTAAACTGGTCACACTGTCAGGACCAGTTTCATTGTCAAACATTGGAAAGTTACAGGGCATCAAACCAATGAAGGGTCACAATGCTGACCAGACAGTACTTTGACGGCATGCGCACCTATTCCTCAACTTAGCAACACCTTGTGTACTTGAGCAACATCATGCACACCTCTTATTACTCATCTTAGCAACACCTTTTACTTGAATAGCACCATCATGCACACCTCATTACTCAACTTAGCAACAAAGAAGACCCCAAGAGCAACCAAGCTACTGCTAAACAACGCCAAGAAGCTCGCCTTCGTCCGCATCGACTCGGACGAGCGCTCGGTCGACCGCTCCCCGCAGATCCCTTGGACGGGCAGACCTTCGTCCTGGACGCTTGTCAACGAATCGCACCTGCTCAGCGAAATGGCCGGTCACGCAGCGGAGTCGGCGTGTTTTTTTCTTTTGGATTTTGAACAGGAAGCCGCTGGACTGCGCCAGCAGCAGCATCCACGAGCAAGCTGGGTTTGGAATGGGAGAGCATTGAGCAAGCAGCTTGCCATTGAGCAAGAAGCTTATGATAGCTACTTATGCACCTCCTGGGAGTTCATTTATTTCTGGTTTAACCACGTATTCCACGTGGTAAAACCATCTGAACACCCGATCCGGTCCCTTTGGGATCTGGTCGGCCGATCACAAATTCTGCATGTCAATTGGCGGCAATGATAATGGTACTGGGATGTGCTAGGCACTGTTCTAGGCATGCATCCAAGTCTGCTGTGCTTCATGCAGTGTGACTGGAACCACCACCCGGGAGCCGTAGAGCTGCGGCCAAGAGAGGAGCGAAGGTGCCGCGTGAGCTTGGGGTGGCATAGGTACCGCGTGTACTGCCACAGCTCGCCCTGGATTCACGTGGAGCTGCGGTCCGGGATGAGGTGACTGGCCCGAGCAGGCACAGGTCCGTACAGCTTCACATGACGTTTGATCTCTTGAGTGCCAAAGTCCGGTGGCTCCAGGTGGTGCAGCTCCAACAGCTCCAGCTGGCAGCATGCCATGTGGACATGCTAAGCTTGGAATGGTCCAAATCACATTGATCTCCCCTAAGGCTTGGTGACAAGCTCCGAAAGCACAAGGTGCTTCTGGAGGTGGTGGTGGTGGGTCATCTTGCGCTTGGTCACCCATGTCTTTTCCATGGCGTCTGCACCACGTCACTGCAACAGCGATCAAGTAGAACAGCAAAACCACCAAGCCGGCCACCACCATGTTGAGAATGGGATTCGGCCAGCCTACCCCACTGGGGGTCGTGGGAGGCAAATCAGGGTGCCTCACATAGCAAGCATGGCCATCTTTCATGGGCTTCAGCTGCAAAGCGCTCAGCTCAATTCGTTGAATCCCCTCCAGAAGCACGTCGGTGTTTTGAAAGTAATTCCACAAACCAAGAGCCTTAGCATTTGCAACATGTGGAGCTGATCTGAGCATCCAGCACAGATTCCAAAGGTATTGTCAGTCAAGCTTTCACAAGACGTCGAAACACACAACAACAAACACATGCACGAGCGTGCATTTAAGGCAATCCAAGCAACTAGTTCGCCAAACAACATTCCAACGATACCCAAGACACGACAAAGCCTGTAGAAATTCCATGTGGAGGCTTGCCGAACCAGCTTGGAGCCATGAAGGCATTTCTTCGAGTCATCCGGCTCTTCCTTCTGGTCAACCGCTGCGTCCGGCTGCTTCTCTTGAGAAGGTCTTTGGGGCGAGCCTCACTTGGAATGAAGATCCAAAAAGGTTGGATGGCCCAAGCTTAAAGCTTGGAGGGCTATTGAACATGATTCAACTTTAGTGTATATTCCATGACCAGGGCCCAGGGGATGATGATGGTTAGGCTAGGTGGCAGGCCTTTCCCAAATATAGTGAACCACCGGACATGGCCTATTTACTTCAACTCTTCAACGGAACTGAAGCTTAGGAGCCGAGGCTGTTGTAGTCCTTGAAGAACTCATAAATCTCAAAGGCAGTGCCAACCACAGCCAGTCCCCTGGGCGGCTGTGTTTCGGGATGTTGGAAGAAAGCTTGCACTATAATCTATTCAAACATTTCCAGAACCCAAAGACACTGGTAATTTCAGGAAGTGCACTTCGAAGACAGAAATGCCTCCTTCTGCCACAAGCGACAACGCGAGGACACATGTCAAAATGGATGAACATAAAACATCTTAAGCCAAACCAAGCTGACACCTGCCCAAACGCTAGCCGTAAGCTCGATTCGGCCACCTCACTCAGTTTCACAAGCAATCTGGACGCGTCGCTGTTTGTAGAAAAGCAATCGGCTCCTGATAACTTCTCTACTTCCTTTGATGCTTTCGACACGTAAATCAGAAGAAACACTTCCAGGACAATATCTGCGAAAAAGCTCACCAGGGTGGCGAGAAAAATGTATGTCCGTTCAAAGTTCCCTGGAAGAAACTCAACCATGATGACAAAGACCCCCATAAACACCAGTGCAATGGCATCAACAATCATGTCACCAATCTCAACTTCCCGCATTTGGCCAACCAAGCTCTTGACCGTGTCCCACGTTGTGCAGCTTTGCGCCTCACTGCACCGACGAGGATCTTCCGACGAGGCTGCTACAACCAGGCCTTTGCAAACTGCAGAGTCTGAGACGGTTTGATTGCACGTGCCCTCAGGCTTGAACTGCACTACCTCCTTTCCGCAGTCCTCCCAGAAATACTCAGTTGGACAATCGCACAAGCCTCGCCATTCGCACCGCCCAAACAAATCAGCTGTTTGACAAGAGGCGTTGTTGTCGTAGATGGCACACCCTCTGTCAAGTTGCTTCTCCAAACCTACACATCCAACATGAAGGCCATTGTTTTTGCAAGGCTGGTCATCATACTGCTCAATTGTCCAGTGACACGACTTTTGATTGTTGCAAAGCTCTCTACCTTGATCGGTGTAGTTTGCACATACGGTGTTGGCGTAAGTGTTGTTGGAGTCTGGACCAGTGCTCCTGCAAACCATCCTGAACTTAAGACTGGGAGCCTGATAGTAACAATGTGCCTGCGCTTCACATGCCTCTTGCATCCGAAAAGTGGAGCATTCCGTCTCAAACTCGGGTCTGGTGATGCAACCCATGCTGCTATCGACTTCGCACAGTCGGCCCTCTTCAAAGCAAATGCCTAGATCAGTGTCCGAATCACAAGAAGTTCCAAAGCCAGTCTCACACTGCAAGTCCTTGGAACCTCCGGCTGTACACTTGCAATATGGGGTGGCCACCAAGGTGGAGGTCGATGTTGTTGTCGATGTTCTTGTAGTTGTGAAGCTCACCGTTGTTGTCAGCGATGACAACGTCATCGAAGAAGCAGTTGAAGTCGTTGCCGTCTTACTCGTGACCGTTCGAGTTGATACTGTCCCGCTACTCGTCGTGGTCATAGTCGTGGTGGTGGCGGCTATGCAACACTCTTCCACGCCAAAGCCTTGCGCTGCAGGTAGCCAACCATCAAGGCAAAGGTCCGGCTGCATGATGAAGAGGGTGTCACACGTCATCTCTGAGCTGTAGGCTGCATAGGCGATCCAGGAGCTAAGGCCACACACAAAGAAGATCACAGATATGCCACAGCAACCGCAAAAAGGGCAGGTTCCTGAATCTTCATCGGCGCAAGCGGCGACTACGATGGCAGCAACGACCGCAATGCCAAAAAGCACTGTGGAAACCACAGCAAACACATTGGTGAATTCCGCCGCTGCTCGCAGGTCCTCAGGCTTCTCATGGCAGCCGTGGAGGGTGAACAAGGCTGCGAGAAGGAGGATCACCAAAGCACCCCTTGTTGCAAGCATGGGGCGGCATATGCCTAAGGCAAGCCAACCCTGCAACGCTTGATCCAGCCAGCCTGTCTTCCAGACATGCAATCATTTAGCAAAGATGTAGACAAAAATGTGTGGCAAATGCTGCCAATCTTCAAATTGAGCTCAATGGGGTGACCGAATTCTAACCAGCAACTCCTTCTGGGTCCGACCATTTCTCTCTAAAGGTCCGCTTCCACAGTCGAGTCTCGAGTCTCCCTTGGAGTCGGACGCACCGTAGATACTACTTTTGTGTGATCCCCCCCCCAAGTTCATGGGGCATGCTGCTATCCGCTGAAGATGGACCTCCTGGAGAAGCATGAATGTGTTTTTGCATGTGTTTCACGTAGCTCGCGGGGATCCTCACAGAGAGCCTCACTTCTGGGGATGCCGGCCGGCTGCGCAGCCCGGAGCTGAGCCAGGGGATTCGTCCTGTCACGGTCATTGGTTAGAGCCAGGGGGAAATACTGTCCAGGATTTGCCACTTCCTGGAGCAATCCAGTGTAGTAAAGGAAAACGTACACGTTGTTTATAATATGTATAATCTTTATACAGGCCATGCCCTGCTGCCAGGATTCTTTGAGGGGGGGACCATTTGACAGGAGTGGCTCGACTGGTGATCTTTCACTGTAGATTGCCCATGGCTAGTGATTCGGCTGATCAGCAACTGGCGGAGCACAGAAGCATCTGCACTCCCAACCATCCTCAGTGACTTGAAGAAACTTCTACTAGTCCAAGTCTGGGCCTCTGATGACCCGCGCTAAGTTGATCGATGCTTGGTCACCATCCGCTTCAGGGTAGACCATCTACGAATATCTATATATATATACCAATCAATAATAGTTCTCTAAAACAGAACACCGATCTTTCTCGAATCTGCACTCCCACTCACCCGCTGCGGAATGATTCTCCAGTCCGCTCCTGGATGTTCCCTCCACTACGGGGCCATGCACAACATCCATTTGTAGAACAACTAATTGTCCAAGTTCATCCAAGTTCAATTACCCGTTCAAAAGAAATCAAAAGAACCATGTGCTATATATATTGTCCAACCCATTGTGGATGCCTGATGGCAATGGCGGCTTGCTCACCCTCATCTCGGCATCCAAATGCTCTGGACACTTTCTCTTGCACCTTGGAGAGGGGTGGAGGGGATAGGCAAAAAGCTCCACCTCCTCACACAAAAGTCGTTGCTTCGTCACCGTCCTCAAAGTCATGAGAAGGACCCTATCAACCCATGAGAACCCTAGTCCCTGGGAGCACTAATAGTAACAAAATGACATCAGTGACGATGCCATCCAAAGAAATTTGAAGACAACAAACACCGTCTGCGCACTGTCGTTGACGGACGTTCCTTTCTGCGCGCCAGTTGACCATCATTCAGTTGCACCAGCTTCGCTGCCTGCCGTTGCGACATGGCTCGGATCTGCCGTTTCGCCAGGGCCACCAGCCGCGAGCAGTTGAGCCTCCAGTTCATCGATTAGTTTTTGCTGGTCCTTGTCCTTGGTCTTCCACTCGCGATTCTCTTCGAGGGCCTTCTGCAGTCGTAACCTCTCCTGCTCCAGCTGAGAATACACCCTGCCGACCCTGCCTGTCTCCCTCACTGCCTCAGGTTGATGGTGTTGCTCTTCGGGCTGAGCCGGGACAAAACGTGGATGACACAATCTGAAACTCTGTAGGCTTCGACTTGTTCTGGCGGATCCTTTCCATCTGTCTTCCAACCACAAATGCCAAAAAACAGAACTCGTGCTGAATACCAGACAGTCGAAAAACGAAGAACCCGCAAATCAAACAAAGGATCATCAATCATGACAAGTGATACCGCAAACAACAAAGGCGACAAAAGAAGGAGTAGCACAGTGATCCAGCGATTCGTTAACTGATGCCAAAGCCAAATGTGACCATACTTGCCGAAAACAAAACGCAGCGGAGACAGGCTCCAAAACAACATCAATCCAGGCAGCTCATTGCATTTGGGATTGGGCGCTATGGTTCGGATCGTGTCTCTGTTCTGCTTCCGCTTCTCACTGTGTGAGGCGTAAGTCTCCTTGCATTTGTCAATGCAACGGCGAAGGATGCGCCAAGGGCGTACATGCATCTCTGTCAGCATCTGTGCTCTGGACTTGGTAAACAGCTGCCGAGCATTAGACTGGAAATGTTGCAAGCTTTGCGTTAGCACAGCAATAAACATGTTCACAAGCATAAATGTAATGCCAATGCTTGTCACCAAGAAAACCACCATGATGAAGAGGTGGTCATCACCTGGCTTAGGATCTTCTGGTTCCCAGGATGTTTCATTTGTTTCATTGTCAGTTCCTTCAATGTACTTTGTGTCAGTTCCTTCAATTTCGAAAAGGTCAAAGTCACCTAGGATCCCAAGCCGAAATGGGATGGCAAACGCTGAGAAAACCGGCAACGGATCCTCCTTGCGAGGGCCAATTTGGTAGTAGGCGTGCGAGGAGGCCAAAAGACACATACCGGTGATGAAGAAGAAGGACATCGAGTTTATGATGGCTTTAATGATGGGCAGGAACCTGAGCCCAAGCCAAGTATATCCTCGAAGGCTGGCGAGCAATCTGAGCCACGCCATGCTACAGAAAACAGCCAGGAGAAACTTGTTCCAGCCTTAATCAATCTGCCACCATACCAGCTGCTGCCCTATGGCAGCCAGCCCAATTCCACAGTAAAGGGCATCAAGAACGTTGTAAGTATCAATTAATTCCATCACATTGTCCAGACCTTGATAAAACCAAAATAAGGAGCACTCAATCAATTCTTTGAAGTGCAAGGTTGCGAGAACTGTTGCCAAAACAAACTTGACAGTGTCATTGGGTTCATTGTGGTAATTGTGGGACAACCAACACAGTGAGGCCACGTTCACTAAATTCAGGAAGTCGTCGCGGGCAACGCAACCGAGATGATGGCTTTGACCACGTCCAAGTCGAGCATGTCTAGATTGTCAGTCTCGGCCAAGGCTTTGCATATTCTCCAGTCATATGCCAAGTTAGGGCACAATGGCAGCAAGTAGGGCTCCACTTGGACAACCCGAGTGTCAAATAGATTTCGATCTTCCAAATCGTTGTAATATGCTAGCTTTCTTCCATCCCCTGTCCACCAACGGACTTTGGGATAGTGCACCTTCAAATTATCCTGCGGGGCTAACACAAACCCAAGGCGCATGCTGCTGATGCTGTTTTGCACCTTGCCCAGGCCCTCCGGCTCGCGCTTCCTGACCAGTAGCGCCTTCATTCACAGTCTCCGTGGCTGCGACGTCTTGCCGACGCAGCAGCTTGCAAAGAATCTCCACATCAATTTCCTGCAACTGGGCCTTGCTCTCAAGCAACAACGTCACCACCGCCACGTTCTCGCCCAACATTGCGGCACCCAGGAGTGACACCCCTCTTAAATTGTTGAAATCCCTCCAGACTGTTGAAGAGGTCCTTCCTTGTCTCGCTCAAAATGTCATCACCAAAGCCTCTCAACAGGTACTGGACTCGGTCAAAATGACCTTCCGATGCAGCCCGCCACAACTTCAAGCCACTTGCTTCACCAGCTGGCCCGCCGTCCTCCGTCAGCTCCTCCACAATTCGCATGGACGCGGGCGTGTGACACTCGCAGTGGCAGCGTGCGGGCATGTGACGGGCGTACCCGCGGCCGGCACACACGTGGCACCCTTCGTCAGGCAGCAGTGGCGGTTGAAGTGAAGTGCCACAAACGAGTGGACGAAGTTCCGGCGCATCACAGAAGTGAGGTCCCGCCATCGAACTGTGCGCTGGCACTTCGATGCGCACGTCAAGGTCAGGCAGCTGATGCTGCACAAGGACCGGCTGCACTCGATCTGAACGTCTTCCAGCCCTAGCCACATGCATTGGTGGCCCAGGCGTGGAGTGAAACATATGGCTTACAATTAACTAGCAACTCAGGGCATTGAATAGATCATTGGATTTTGAACCAAAACATCTGTGGACCTGGATGACCTGGAGTTTGAAACTCCCACCGCCTCAAGTCTCAAGCACCCCATGTCTCAGCGACCCTCCTGCCCTATCGCTCCCTCGCAGTCGACTGGTTGCCTGGTGCAAGGCGTGGCCCGCCTCAGAGCCGTCCAGCAGTCGATGCTGTTCTTTTGGATGCGGGCTTAGCCTAAAAAACAAGTTGGGGGGCTGGTCACTTAAAGTCGTCATGTTGTTTGCACATGACTTGGCGAAGGGAGCAAGGACATGATGAGCTCGAATAGCATGGAGCGCCTTGGTGGCACACGCATTGAAGATCCTTGAAGCGTGAGCGCTTCGACTTAAACACACTGGAGCTAGACTGCTGGACTTGCTCGCACACGTCTCCGCTTCGCAGCTGCAACACATCAAAACAACCAGTGATGTAGTCAGCAGAAGTCCCCGTGCTACGCTCGTAACCATCGTACCCCCCCCTGAAGAGATTTTCTATGATCCACCATTCTGGCCAACTCCTATCCATTCACTTTGTTCGTTGCTGAACCTCTTCCAAGCTCATCCGCTCGTAAGAACAACTGAATTATCTTTTCTTCGGTTGGAAATGGACAAACCACTAGCACTATGGAGCCACACTGCAAGGTGCATAGCCAGAAATCATCTCTACTCTACATGACAAACATGTCCCAAACCAGGTGGGATCTAAGCGCGAGCAACCCGAAACATGGAGCCTACGGTCGGTTGAAGAAGTAAATCATAGTAAATCCTTCTCTTCCTGATATGGCGATTCGGCCCAGCTACAAGTGGTTTAGGATATCGATGGTTTAGGTGTTCTTAGGCGGTGGCGCTCACTCGCTTTCTTCCCACCACCGGAATACTTTCCCATTCTCAATAGCCACACAGGTGGGCCTGCTGCACTGGCACCGAGGCCATCCTCTCACAAGCCCCACATCACCCCTGGCGGGTGCGTGACTGGCCAAGGCTCCAAGCGATTCGAGTGCCAAATCTGGCGGCTCAGCCGCACTGAAGGACGATCTGCAAGACTTTGGAAAGCTCTGTTTATAATATAGGTGAGCAAAGAAATGTGGTAAAACATCAGAATGTGGCCGTGCTAAAGGATACATGGAGGTCTTAGAATGGAATTGGCCCGTGGTCTTGAGTGCCAACTCTGCCATGTGATCTTGACGATTGGCAAAGCTTGTTAAAACCTATGTTGCATTCCAATGTTTGCCATCTCTCCCATTCACCAAAGCCATATCCATCAGAATCCATCCAAATCGTTTGAGTGCCAAACCTGGCAGCTAGGCTTGGCAAAAAGAAGCGCTGGACCAGTCAAACAAGCTGTACATAAGTCAAGGGTCCGTGGTTGAAAGCAGACTTCCAAAGATTGGCGGATGCAAGGCAGCATGGCCTTTCAATTGCCCGCAGCCGGGAGCTAGTCCCTGCCACGGTCATTCATTGCCAGGGAAATGCAGTCAGGATAGGGCACTTCTGGATAGAAGTGGAGCAAAGGCCATGTCCTACTTCCATGAATGAGGGAGGACGATTCGACATCTGCGGCCATGCTTGCGATCTTCACTGCAAATACCCACAGCCAGTCAATCAGGTATGCGGGTCAAGCGGGTCAACTGGCAGAACACTCACGCGTCCTCGTCACTGACCCTGCACTACATTGACCGCTTCATCTCTCAGGCCTTGACGCTTGTCGTGCATCATCCTGCATCTCTCGATTTATTACGTGGGCGTTGTTCTGCTTCTGATCTCTGGGTGCACTCCGTGTTGCCGGACGTTTGCAACATGGATTCGCTCAATTGCGGTAACCTGATCACCTACTCTACTGTACAAACTTTCAATCTGCATAATGTGGAGAGGGCTCCCAATGCTTCCACTAGCCACTATTCCGACTATACCTCAATGGCCCAAGAGTGATGCCCATAACATTCCAATGAAACTCCCCACGCAACCACTTGGTAGATGTTAATCATTCTCCAACTACCCTTTCAAAAGACTCAAATTCAATGTCAATGTCTGTCCAACCCGTTTGGCTGCCGACCACCTCTCTCGACAACCTCCATCTCATCCAAAGGATCTGTAGAGCTTATGGGGATTGCGCCGTCCACAAGGAGGGGCCCTATCAACCCATGAGAACCCAATCTCCAAAATCTTTCTGGGGAATATACATCACTCATAATTATATATATATACAATATATATAGATATAATATATATTATATAATATTATATATAACTAACTGCAGTTACCGTATAAGATTTAAGATTTGGAGACTGCACCTCAGGTCCAGTTGAAGTTGTGCATCAAACGCCAGGCTCTTGGCTTGGGCTGGAGGGGAACCCAACGAGTCCGAAGTCCCCCCAATTCCAACGGTTCCTGGCGGACGGCATTTGTCTTGGCCGCCCTCCGACTTTCAGCCAACCCCAGGGCCTCCCAGGAGAGGTTCCAGGACTCGATCCTGGCCACCGCACCGCAGCAGTCCCGTGACGCGGACAGAAACGTTTCAAGGTCGGTCCATGAGTCCATGGTGTGAGTTTTGAGGTGAATTGCCATTACAAACTGGAAATGTCGAATAGCTACGCTGCTACACAAAACTAAAGAGGAGATACCTATAGCCTCGTTTGCATGATATGCACCTGTAGCATCACAAGATACTGGGAGTTTAAGACATCAGAGTCATCGAAGCACAATAGGTTCACTTCCAAATAGAAGCAGCCTATACATAATCAATCAGGCCGAAGCATGATCACAAAGGTGCCTCTGTAAAATCCCCTTGGACGTGATGCAACCTCGCTTTACTTGCAAAATATAACACACACCTAACATATTAGGCCCCTGCCATGCAGGAAGGAAGCTGCAGCTGACATCTCGCCCTGTCCGCTGATCTTTTTGAAGACACCATGCTCCTTGGATCGTCGGAGACGTCATCATTCATCCAAGATATGGAGGAGGCTGGCTATTGGGTGCGTCGATCGCTCCGACTGAGGTCCGACTGTGGAGCGTCGTTCAGTCTCTCCTCGCCGCTGGCTCCTCCTGCGTGAGTGTGAGCTTCCGTCCTTTTGATCTTATCAAGCTCAGCTTTGTGCGCCTGATCTTTCTTATCAAGCTCTGCTTTGTGCGCCTGATCTTTCTTATCAAGCTCTGCTTTGTCCGCCTGATCTTTCTTATCAAGCTCTGCTTTGTGCTCCTGATCTCTATCATGAAGCTTCTGATGGAGATTTTTCTCGTGCGCCTGATCTCTCTCACAAAGTTTTTTTCTGTGCTCTTTGCATATATCGACACTCCATGTTCTGTGATATTCGTCTTTCTTATCAAGCTCTTTTTTGTGATCAGCGTCTTTCTTATCAAGCTCTTTTTTGTGATCTGCTCTAAGCTTTTGTTTGTACTTGTCTGTTTCTTCTTTAAGCTCTATTGTGCGAGTCTCGTGTTTCTTTTGAAGATCTTGAAGCTTCTTTTTCCATTCCTCATCCAATCTGAGTTCATGCTGACGACCAACAGTGATCGCATCCTCCATGCTTCGACGGGTCAAACGTTCCATGCTCCACGCTATATGTCCACGCTGGCTGCGATCCTCCGCGTTTTCACAGACAAAAACGTGGATGATACAGTCGGAAGCTTGCAAGCCCGTGATTTGACTTGGCGAATCTCTTCGCCAACAGCCAATGCCAAAAAACAATACTCGCAGCTGATGTTGAAGACCAGATAGTCGAAAGAAGAAGAAACCGCAAATCAAACAAGGGATCATCATGACAAATGAGACCGAAAGCAACACAGGAGACAGAAAAAGGAGGAGCACTGTGATCCAACGATTCGTGCACTGATGCCAAATCCACATGTGACCATACTTGCCGAAAACAACACGCAGCGGAGACAGGCTCAAAAAGAGGATCAATCCAGGCACCTCCTTGCATTCGGTTCTTGGTGGTGAAGTTGAGATGGTATCTGATGCCACCCAGTTGCTTGGGCAGCAGCAACGTAAGATATGTAGTAAGCGTGTCAAAGGACGTTTTTGCAAGTCTTTCAGCATCTTGGCCCTTGACTTTGTCAATAGCTGCCGGTCCGTAACCTGGAATTTTTGCAAATTTTGCGTCAGCACAGCAATAAATATGTTCATAAGCACAAGTGAAATGCCAATGCTTGTCACGAAGAAAATCACCATGATGAAGAGGTGGTCATCACCTGGCTCAGGATCTTTTGGTACCCAGGATGCTTCATCTGTTTCTGTTTCATTTCCTTCAACGTACTTTGTGTCCTTTCCTTCAAATTGGAATAGGTCGAAATCACCCAGGATTCCAAGTCGAAATGGGATGACAAAGGCAGAGAAAAGCGGCAACGGATCCTCTTTTCGAGGGCCCATTTGGTAGTAAGCATGTGCGGAGGCCAAAAGACATGTGCTGGTGATAAAAAAAAGGGCATTGAGTCCATGATGGCATTAATGATGGGCAGGAACCTGAGCCCAAGCCATGCGTATCCTCGAAGACTGGCCAGCAATCTGAGCCATGCCATGCCACAGAAAAGGGCCAGCAAGGCCTTGTTCCAACCTTCAGGGGGCAACCACAATTCCAGCTGCTTTCCAATTACAGCCGCACCAATTCCAGAGTACATAATATCAACGAGGTTGAAAATATCCCAATCCCACAGTTCTATCACCATGCATTCAGAAGTCTCCTTGGCGTGCAGGATCGCCAGGATCCATGCAAGGGTGAGATCTGATGAGCTGGGATTGCTACCGTAGTTGTAGGACAACCAACAAAGTAAGACCACGTTCACAACGTTTACGAGATTGTCGATGACACTGCTCCTAATGTGTTGAACCCACGCAACCGAGATGATCGCGTTCACAACATCTAAGTCAAGCATCTCAAGATTGTCACTTGAAGCCAAAGCTGCAAGTATTTTTGGGTCACATGCGAGTGGAGCTCGTAATGGTAGGATGTAGTGCTTTACTTGGGCAATGGAAGGGTTTAACATATTCTGATTTTCCAGGTCATTGTAATAGTCCACCACTGATCCTGTCCACCACTGCTCAGATTTTTTCGTCACATCCAGGCCATCCAATGGGGCCAAAACACACCCAACTCTGTCGCGCAGCTTGCCCAAACCTTCGCCCTTCTCCACCCAGAGTGCCTTCACCCTCTTCGTGGCTTCCTGGTCTTCCCGACGCAGCAGCATGGAAAGAATCTGCACATCCACTTCCTGCAGCTGGGCCTTGCTCTTAAGCAGCAGCGTCACAACCTCCTCGTGGTTACATTTCTCATCATGCGGCTTTGCGGTACCCAACATTGCGGCACCCAGAACTGTCACTCTGTCAGGAAAGGTCTCGAACCCCTCCTGCTGAATGTTCGTCCTTGTGTAGTTAGCATCAGAGCCCTGTTTCAACAACTTGTCCACTTCTTGAAATTGTCCAGCATGGGCATCCTGCCACAACTGGTCATTCAGCTCAGGAGCTGGCTCGCCGTGTCGTGGATCTGGCTCAGGAGATGGCCCGTGACAGTCGCAGCTAAGTGGCGCCGGCCAGGGGTATCTGCGGCCACAGGTTGAGCAAACAAACGCAGAGGTGAGTGGCATTGGCGGTTGGGGAGGCGGCGAAGGAACTACGACTGGAGGTTGCGAGATGTGCACTTCAACTGCATCCGGGTCTGCCAGCAAGACCTGAGACACTCCAGGCATCAAGAAAACAGGAGGACCAAACATTGCAGGCATCACACTCTGTCCTTCGACTTCGATACACGCTTCACGTGGCTGATGCTGATGCATGAGGATGGGCTGGACTCTAGCATGTCTTCCAGGCACAGCCACTTGCATTGGTGGCCCAGTCTGAGGAAACATAGTGAAACATTGATCTAGCAAATCATGAAAATAACAAAAAAGGCATTGAACCGATCTTGAACCAAAACATCTACATTGATCGAATTTCAAACGCTTCCATCGGATGTGGCGACAATCAGTGACTGCTCCATGGCTCTCTCAAGCAACTTCCGGGGGTCCAACTGCCGAGGCGTCTGAGTGAGCTCATCGCCTCGTTTGCGGACTGGCCGTTCTGATGGCTTCGCCACAGCGCCACTCGGGGGGCGGAGACTCCGTTTTGGGTGAATGTATCATGTGCTCATGTTGTTTGTTGTTTGATTTTTTCACCGGGGGGAAAGTAAAGATGTGCAAACCAGCAAAAGGAAGCCTTCCACCCTGACTGAGGGAGGCTCATTTGGCAGGTCGTGACGCGGATCCGGCGACCGGTACCATCGTCGATGTTCGCAGGTTGCGCTTTTGTTCGATGACCGTGATGCTGGGCACCTGCTCGTCATGGCTGTTTCAACAATACAAAACGCAGCACCGAAACCGAAACCGATGCAGACCGAAACCGAACCGATCGCAAACGCCGAGCCAACACAACGAATACAACGCCGCATCGAACCGATACCGAGCCGAGAAAAACACGCAAACCGACCGCCGACACCGAACCGATTGCGGCTGCCTCACCAAGACCATTTTGCAACAACCTTGACTGGAAAGGGCAGGTATTTTTGATAATGCACCAACTTTGTGCAGGCAAACTTTTCTGATTTCTTTTCCACACACACCCTCCATTCAGCCTTCATTATAGTATACTCCATTTAGACCGTGGATGTTCTTGAGCCTTTTTTCACCCCTGAGCAAATTTGTTTTTCCTGATTGGCTAAATCCTTGGTCGCACCTTATTTTTATCGATTTTGGTAGGTTCTGGCCACGCCTGAGCAGACATCGAGCTGGAAGTTTGTTTCTTGTCAATCTACGGGACGGAGAGGGTTCTCTAATAGATTTTCACTGTTCGCACCCGGCCCAAAGGAGCAGGTCTTGACTCCTCTACAGAGAGAGAGAGAGGGAGCGAAAGAGGGAGAGTCACGAGCGCAGGGCATGAGCAAGTTTATACTGCGTTTAGAGTGCGTTTATACTCTTTGGCCCTGCCCTCTTCACACTTGAACAATTCACTTTTTCATGCTTTGGGGTGAGAAGGGCTTACTCCTTTACAAAGAAAGAGAGGGAAAGAGAGAGGGAGCGAAAGAGGCATGGGCAAGTTTATACTGCGATTCGAGTGTGTTTATACTCATTTGGCCCTGCTTTCTTCACACTTGAACAAGTCACTTTTTCATGGTTTGGGGTGAGCAGGGCTTACTCCTTTACAAAAAAGGAGAGGGAAAGAGAGAGGGAGCGAAAGAGGGAGAGTCACGAGAGCAGGGCATGGGCAAGTTTATACTGCGTTTAGAGCGCGTTTGGCCCTGCCCTCTTCACACTTGAGTAATTCACTTCCTTCATGGTTTGGGGTGAGAGGGGCTTAC